GGATATCGCAGGTGCAGAGACAGAAGTGAGGATTCAGAGCCCTCCAGAAAGAGAGAGTGGAAGGTGAGCCTCTTGGAAGAGAAATAGAGCCATCCCAGGGCACTCCTTCCAGAGGGCGTAAGGCATGTGCTTGGGGTTCTGTTGCAGGATTCTGGTGGGGATTAGGGGTAGCAATGGACAAGGTGAGTGCAGATAATAAACAAATATGCAAAAGAAGCTACAAGACAGATGCACTTACTCTAACAATTATAGACCCCAAAGACATTGATAAGGAAAGTAAAAAATAAACTAAGTTAACATCATATTATCATTTGTGTCTATTAAAGTTTCAAGCACACAGGACCATGCACTCTGAAGAATATATGGACATATGTTAACGTTGGTGCTTATTGAAGGGGAAGAGGACATTGAGAATTAGGGGGGGAGGAGGAAAAATAAAATCAGTAAGAATGGTCTTGCACAGGTCAAGGGTGATAATCAGTTAAGAACTGGAGAGAGTGATTAATTCAACCATCTGAAATTTAAAAATGGGCAAAAGCAAATTCAGAGAGGTGATGCCAGAGGAAGGGCAGTGTGAGGGATCCCCTTGGTCTCTCCCCTTGAAGGTTCAACAACTCGAACCACTATAACTCAACAAAGAATTCACTACTCAATGCAAAGCTTGCCCGAGAAATCCATGCACTGAAACATGTAAAAGTGGGCAAGTGGGAACTAAAGGGCAAGGTAAGAACAGAGAAAGGCTGAGACGAGCCACAGATGTAGCCATGTGGCTGGGAGATCACAGCAGGGCTCAGCCTGAAGAGGGGAGGAATCTGATTGTGACTGGAACTGCCTTCAGCTGGGAGAAGCAAACAGATTCCATGGGCACTCCTGCAGCAGTAAGCAATATGAGCTGCAGCTGAGCCCAAAGACCTGGGAAAGACATCACAGAGGCTTGTGCCACAGTTGTCAGGCGATCAGTTTTCCAGGCAGAGAAACGAAGCCATAGAGCCCTGCTGCCCTGTAGCCTCCCAGAGCTTGCCTCCCTTCACCCTTGGTACTGAGTTGCAGAGCACATTATCTGGAAACCCAAAATCTGCTTTTTTACTTGAGCAAAAAGTATACTTTCTGACCAGTCCCAGGGCTGGAGTACAGGGGTAATTCCATAGAGGTCTGAGGTCGCCATTTCCAGGAGAGAAAAAAAACAAACAAATAAACAACAACAACAAAAACATAGAAGCTGGCTTTGCTCCTCCAGCCCACCCCACCTGCACTAATCCCTGCTACACTGATGGCAGCATCTGGCTGCAGGAGATAACACTGGAATTTCACAGAGCTAAAAAACTTGTGTTTCAGGATTTCCAGCCAAGATGGAGGTGTAGGTAGATACACTTTGCTTCCTTCCACAACCAAAAGGACAACAAAAAAACTTTAAAAAATAACCATAACTGCCAGAAAATCAAACTGAATGGAAGTCCAACAATCAAGGAGTTAAAGAAAAAACATTCACCAGACTGGTAGAAGGGGTGGAGATAGGCAGCTGGGGCAGAGAGGACATGCACCAAGGTGGTGGCTGGAGGACTAAGGTGGTTGAGGTGGCAGCTGGTGGACCAGGAGGTGCCACATTTGCATGCAGATAAACCAGGAGAAACAACTGGGGAGTGAGACAGACTGTGCAACCCAGGGCTCCAGAAGTGGGACCCAAGGAAGCACACACCAAGACACATCATAATTACATTATCCAAGATTAAAGAGAAGGAGAGAATCTTAAAAGCAGCAAAAGAAAAGGAGACAGTTAACTACAAAGAAGTTTTCATAAGAGTATCAGCTAATTTCACAAAAGAAACCTTTTGGGAAATAAAGCCTCAAAACCTGTGGATGTTGTGGTGGTGGGAGCAACTCCCAGCCTCACAGGAGACTTTATTCGAGAGACCCACAGGATCCTAGAATGTACACAAACTCAGCCACCAGGTAATCAGCACCAGAAGGGCCCAATTCGCATGTGGGTATCAGGGGAAGTGACTAAAAATCAGCCAAGAGCTGAGCAAGCCACATTGTTCCCTCTCAGACCCCTCGCCCCCACACAATGCCACAACATGCGTTGCCCTGCCATGGTGAATGCCTAACACTCTGCCCCTTACAACCTAACAGGTGCACCAAGACAAAGAAATATGGCCCAAATGAAATAATAGATCAAACTCCAGAAAAAAACAACTAAGCATGAAGAGCTAGCCAAACTATCAGATGCAGAGTTCAAAACACTGGTGATCAGGATGCTCACAGAAATGGTTGAGTACGGTTGCAAAATAAAGAAAGAAGCGAGGGCTACGCAAAGTGAAATAACCAAAAATATACAGTGAAGGGAAGGAAACCAAGACTCAAATCAATGATTTGGAGCAGAAGGAAGAAATAAACATTCAACCAGAACAGATTGAAGAAACAAGAATTAACAAAAAAAAATGAGGAGAGGCTTAGGGACCTCTGGGACAACTTTAAACTTTTCAACATTTGAATATTATGTATTCCAGAAGAAGAAGAGGAAGAGCAAGAAATTGAAAACTTATTTGAACAAATAATAAAAGAGAACTTCCCTAATCTGGCAAAGGAAATAGACTTCCAGGAAGTCCAAGAAGCTCAGAGAGTCCCAAAGAGGTTGGACCGAAGGAAGCACACATGAAGACACATCAAAATTACATTAGCCAAGATTAAAGATAAGGAGAAAATCTTAAAAGCAGCAAGACAAAAGGAGACAGTTACCTACAAAGGAGTTCCCATAAGGCTATCAGCCGACTTCACAAAAGAAACCTTCCAGGCAAGAAGGGGCTGGAAAAAATATTCAAAGTCATGCAAGGCAGTGACCTACATCCAAGATTACTCTATCCAGCAAAGCTCTCATTTAGAATGTAAGGGCAGATAAAGTGCCTCCCAGATAAGGTCAAGTTAAAGGAGTTCATCATCACCAAGCCCTTATTCTACGAAATGTTAAAGGGACTTCTCTAAGAAAAAGAAGATAAAAAATATGAACAACAAAATGATAACAAACTCACAACTAGCAAGAACTGCACCTAAAAAAATAACAAAAACAAACTAAGCAAACAACTAGAACAGGAACAGAACCACAGAGGTGGAGATCACAGGGAGGGCTATGAGTGAGGAGAGGGAGGGGAGAGAATGGGGGGAAGGTATGGGGAATATGAAGCATAAATGGTAGGTAGAAAACAGACAGGGGGAGATTAAGAAGATAGTATAGGAAATGGAGAAGCCAAAGAACTTCTATGTACGACCCAGGGACATGAACTAAGGGGTGGGGGAGATTCCAGTGGGAGGACACGTGCAAACAGAGAGGGAAAAAAGGGACAACGGTAATAGAATAATTAATAAAATATTCTTTAAAAAAAACAAACAAACAAACTTGAGCCCTGGTTCATGTGGCTCAGTGGATTGATCTGGCCTGTGAACCAAAGGGTCATTACCCAGCTAGGGCACATTCCTGAGTTGCAGGCCAGGTCCTCACTTGGGGACACACAAGAGGCAACCACACATTGACATTTGTCTCCCTCTCTTTCTCCCTCCCTTCCCCTCTCTCTAAAATAAATAAATTTTTAAAAATCTCAAACAAACTTGTGCTGAAGCACCACCTACTGGAAAAGTACAGAAAGATCTTTTCATATTATTCCACTGGAGGAATGTCACTAATACATAAAAGCTAAAACAGAGAAGGAATCCATCAAATACCATGAATAACCAAGGTCAACTGGCAGCTCAGAAAGAAAATGAAAAATTTCCAGAAAAAAACTTAAAGACATGAAGATATGCAATATAAATAATAAAGAATTCAAAGTTGTAGTTCTGAGAATATGCAACAAGATCAAGAAAATACAGAAAGGCAATTTATTGTGCTCAAAAAACAAATCCATGAACAAAACAAGTACTTTACCAAAAAGATTTAAACTTTAGAAAAGAACCAAAGAAGAATTCTGAATATGAAGAAACTGATGAAAGAGATCAAGAATGAACTAGTGAGCACAGGAAATACAGCTGACCAGATGGAGGAAAGGATTAGTGATGTTGGAGATAGAAATCTAGAAATGACTCAGAGAAAAGAAGAGAAACATGAGCATAAAAAGAAATGAAAGAGCTCTATGATAACTGTCTGACTCCATCAGAAAGAGCAATATGAGAACAATAGGCATTCCAAGGAAGAAGAGAGAGAGAAAGGAATGGAGAGTCTATTCAAACAAATAGTGGGTGAGAACGTTCCAAACCAATGGAAAGAGCTGCTAGATCCTTGAATCCAAGAAGCACACAGAACACCTATTACCTCAATCCAAAGAGGCTTTCTCCAAGGCACATCGTATTAAAACTGTCAAAAATTAATAACAAATGCTATGGTGGTGATCATATTACAATAGATAAATGTACCAAATCAATATACTGTACATGCCTTAGACTTATACAGTGTTATATGTCAATTACATGTAAATTTTAAAAACAGTTTTCTTGGGTAACAACATACCAGGACTGGAAGGGTCAGGGAGAACAAATGAGGAGTGGGGTGCTCTGGAGACAATTCTTTTAGAAAAATGTAAAAAAAAAATGCCTGTTACCCATATCTGTTCTACAACTTGAAAAGCGTTTGAAAAGTAGAGAGGTGAAAGTCACCACTAGAAGTCATTACTTAAATCAAAAGCATTTGAGTGCATGACTTTGCATCCATAGTTTCAAGAACCCATTTATTCAAGGAGCCGCCCTTGAAGCTGGTGAATGGGAAGATAATCTCTCTATCTTGATGAGTAAATACAGAAAGAGTCGGGAGTCAAGTGAACTGGCGACCAACCCAGGTTCCAAAGCAAGGCAAGGGAAGGAGTGACGGGGTGGGGGCCGCTGTGTGTTCTTAGAGGATGCTGTCAAGGTTCAGCCTTCTTGAGCACAAATGCCCCACCCTTCCGAGCTGCAAGCCCAGCCTCCTCCTCCCTGTTCTCTTTCTCCAGAGAAGGGCAGGGCCCAGAGTCAGGACTCACCTGAGTTTTCCCAGGAGACAATTTCCCATCCTGCCAGTGTGACTCGGCCTCTCAGCTCCTGCCTTGCACTCCACGTTGGGTGGTCTTGACCAAAGCAACGAAAAGCACCATGTGGGGCCGGATGTGGCATCTGACCACGGGCTTGTGCTCCTGCCAACCACCAGCTCAGGGTACGGGTGTGTCAGAGAAGGAGGGAACTGTTGGGAAGGGGAGGGACGGGGAGGGGGAAGGCGTGCTTTGGTGTGTGTACACATGCACACAAGTGTGGGAAAACAGGAGACTGAAGCATGAGACAATAAACCTAACACTCTGGTGTGGCTTGGCCTTCAAGGAGATCCCAGGATTGTAGGATCACACAGGGTAGGGGCTTTTCTGCTCCTCAGAAATCTGATGTCAAGTATTTCCCAATATTTTGTCCTCTTCCAAACACACAAGAAAAAAGCCTTTTGTAACAAAAAGAAAGGCAAAAAGAAAGAAAATCTCAGTGTGTTCTTCCAATTATAAAAATCAAATCATTTGTAAGGTCCTTCCCCAGAGGTCTGACACTTCAAAAGACAAGACTGGGAAGAGGGAAAGGAGTGTGGTCTTCATGCTGTTCGAGGTGGGCCACGGAGCAGACATTCTTCCTGTTGCTCCAAGGCTAAGGCCGCCAGGGGAAGGAGCCGGGGCCTGACCTACCCATCCGCACCATCTGGCCCCCCGCTTCCTCCCCTGCACCGCCCGGCACAGCCACAGAGCACAGGCTGGCTGCAGTGATAAGGAGGTCAATTCGCTGGCTGTTGACTCCCAGCCATGGCCGATGGGGGAGCAAAACAGCTTATTCATGGTGCCCTCCACCCAGCAGAGTGCAGACAGGTGCCTGGCTCCCTGCACTTTCCAACCAACACAGAACTGGCTTGCTGCATTCAGTAGCTCTATGTTCAAATATTCCAATATTTAAAATATTTTTCAAATAATGATATCGAGAATGATGAAATTTAATTTACTCCTACTCATTGTCAGAGCTCAGAGGTTCAAGTGCCTTATGGTTCTTTCTAAATCTTCTGTTTTAATCATAAGCTTGAGAAAAATTATGTTTGGAACAGGACTGTCACACCCCCATTACAAGTGTTTGCTCCATCTGATTCACTTGGCAGAACCACTGTCCCAGAGCCCCACTTCTCAGGCTTTCACATCCACACCAGTCCCGTAAGGACTCTGTTAGAGGGAGATTCTGACGCTGCCAAACCAGGTTGACGTTCTGCCTTTCTCACAAGCTTGCAGCTGACACCACTGCTGCTGGCCCGTTGAGCAGCCTGACATACCCTGGGCCAGGGATTCCCTAACCCTGGGGACAAACCAGCAGTACAAGGCACCTGTTGTCTTGTTTGAGATGAGAATGCCAGGTCCCAGCTCACACCTGCAGAATCAGAAACTCTGGGGCTTCTTCCTGTTGCCTGCGAACGTTTGAGATCCACAGCAGTAAACCATTTATTAATTACAAATAAACTCATCAATCCCCAAATGCTCAATTAAGTAGGTCCCTATTAGGTCCTGGCCACTAAATGATAGAGATGTGGGCAACACCACAGGTCTCCAGTTTCTACTATGGAAGGCTGATTCATGAACTACCCAGACCTCACACATTTCATCTGTGGAGGGAATGCAATAGAAGCAAAAGAGAGCTTCTAGTGAAAGAGAGTGTTCTGCAGCAACTGTGGCTGTGACAACTGAGGGAACACAACCAGGCTGCACACTACACACCTTACTCTGGAATCTGTGCTGTGCAGAAGGACAGACAGTCCTTTCAAAGGTAATGCCTCCACCCACCCCGCCCATGCAGGTCATTTCCACCCTGGACAGGCTCCTGGTGATAATCTCCACTCACTTGCTCTTACGTTTGTTCTTTCTGCTTGGCCCCCTGCCTACCAACTAGTTTAGGTTTCACACATCTGAACTTTATGTAGAAAGGACACATGCTACTTTCTGTTTGCTCTGAGAGAGGACAATCGCCCCACTCCATGCTTTCAAAGGCAAACATTTAATCATATGTGTTTTTCTTCTTATTAAATTGTTAAGTGCTTGGGATGAAGGACTTCTGCCAAGATGGAGGCGTAGGTGGAAGCACTGTACCTTCTCACACAACCAAGTTTAAAAACAACAAAGTTTTAGCAACAAAAACGCAGCCAAATGACAGAAAATTGAACTATACGGAAGTTGGACAACAACGAACCCTTCAGCCAAACCGGTAAGAGGGGCAAGCCAGCAGCAGAGCAGGGTCGTGCAGGAGAGATCCCCCAGACCGACCCGGGCGTGCAACCCAGGCGCGCCAGCAACCGTGAGTGGATCCCAGGTATGGAGAAGTGGGTGGACCCACTGAGGGCACAAGGTGGTGGACCCATTGAGGGCTGACCACGGTCACACATTCCCAAGCAGATAAACCAGTGAAGGAGCAAGTGGTAGACAGATCATGCAGGCCCCAGTGGCGGGAAGCGGCAGAGGGGACCGCCATTGTCCCTCTCTGACCCCACCCCCAAATACAGCATCACAAACCATTGACCTGGGTGGCCCCGCCCTGGTGAACACCTAAGGCTCCGCTCCTCATACCTCAGGATTCTCACAGAACTGGTTGATTTTGGTCACAAATTAGAGGAACATATGAAGGCTAAACTAATTGAAATGAATGGAAATACACAGGAAACCAATAGTAATGGAAAGGAAACTGGGACTCAAATCAAAGGAGTGGACCAGAAAGAGGAAATAAATGACCAAACAGAAAAGGATGAAGAAACAAAAATTCAAAAAAAATGAGGAGAGGCTAAGGAACCTCCAGGACATCTTTAAATGCTCCAACATCCAAATTATAGGGGTACCAGAGGGGAAGAGGAACAGCCATGAGTGGAAAACTTATTTGAACAAATAATAAAGGAGAATTTCCCCAATCTGGCAAAGGAAATAGACTTCCAGGAAATCCAGGAAGCTCAGAGAGTCCCAAAGAAGTTGGACCCAAGAAGGAACACACCAAGGCACATCTTCATTACATTAGCCAAGATTAAAATGAAGGAGAGAGTTCTAGAAGCAGCAAGAGGTAAGGGGACAGTCACCTACAAAGGAGTTCCCATCAGACTGTCAGCAGATTTCTCAAAAGAGACCTTACAGGCAAGAAGGGGCTGGAAAGAGGTATTCCAAGTCATGAAATCCAAAGACCTACCACCAAGATTGCTCTATCCAGCAAAGCTTTCATTTAGAATGGAAGGACAGATAAAGTGCTTCTCAGATAAGATCAAGTTCAAGGAATTCATCATCACCAAGCCCTTATTCTATGAAATGTTAAAGGGACTTACCTAAGAAAAAGAAGATAAAAAAAGATGAACAGTGAAAGGACAGCAAAACTCACAGTTACTAAGAACTATACTTAAAACAAAAACAAACTAAGAGGACAGCTAGATCAGGAGCAGAACCATAGAAATGAAGATCACATGGAGGGTTAGCAACAGGGGAGTGGGAGGAGGAGAAGGGGGGAGAAGGCACAGAAAATAAATAGCATAGACGGTAGGTAGAAAATAGGTAGGGGGGAGGGCAAGAATAGTATGGGAAATATAGAATCTAAAGAACTTGAGACACATGGTCATAAACTAAAGGGGGGAATGGTGGGGGGGTGTGCAGGGTGGAGGGGAATAAAGGGGGGAAATAGAACAACTGTAATGGCATAATCAATAAAATATATTAAAAAATAAAGATGCCGTGACTTACACCATCAAAAATAAATAAATAAATAAATAGTTAAGTGCTTGGTATTGAATATATAAAAAAGTGCAAATAAGAAAACATATAAAACATTTAAGTAACCCAGCTGCTACCCTGAAACAACTCCCATGTGCATTTTGATGTCTATTTACAGTCTTTGCTCCATGAACACACACACACCCATTGTTCTAAAGAATTCCAGAAAGGAGAGCACTCTGCACATGTGTCTGTCTGCACCAGTAAGTAGGTTTTCAAAGACCCTTCCCCTGCTTTACTGAGGTGTGATTGGTGTGCACAAGCAGAATTTAGTAATGTATTCCATCTGATGGGTTTGAACATTCCTGACACCATCACCACAGTCAAGGGGAGAGACATGCCCGTCCCCTTCACTAGTTTCCTGGTGTCCCTTTGGGGCGCACGTGCACGTGTGTGTGTGTGAAGAACACTTAACGTGAGATTTCCCCTCTTGGAGAAATTTTAAGTGAACAGTATGGCAAATGGCATATCTGACAAGCAGTTAATTTCAAAAATATGGAAGGCACTCCTACGATTTAAGAGCAAAACCAAAAGCAAAAATAACAAAACAACCGGATTTGAAAGTGGGCAAAATACTTGACTAGACATGTCTCCAGAGAACACTTGCAAATGGCCAGCAGGCTCACGGGATAGTGGTGCTCACCATCACTGATCATCCGAGGAACGCACGTCAAAACCACAGTGAGATAGCTCCTCCGTCAAACTGAAAATTTCTAACTTCCATGACTGAAGTCTTCATTAAACAACATTTTACTGAGCCAAAGGACGACCAGGCACGTGGAGTCTAAACTGCTAACAGCGTGGCTAAGTAGAAAAGACAACCGTCCCTACTCCCAGAGTTTTGCAAGTGCCTTTATGTGTCAGTGAGGGAGGCAGGGAGAAGGAGGTCATCTGAAAGAATTACAGTAGCTGCAGGCAAAGGGCTGGGGCAGGTGAGGTGAGGCCGGTTCTGGGCCAGTGGAATCCTCATAAGTGTCAGCTCCTGTGGGTGAGCTGGGGCGGCCGCCTGGAGGGCCCTCTAGTGAACAGAGTGCTCCTGGTCCGAGTGGGGCCTGGCTGAGATGACCTGCTACTGGTGGATGCAAAGGGCTTCACTGTGTCACGGTCGTTTCCAGCCTCTTCTTTGGTTACTTCTAGTTTCTCTATTATAACAAGTCTGCAATGAACATTCTTATAAATAAACCTTGACATGGCATTGCCGATCTCGTGTACGAGTTCTAATACTAGCTGTACATATTCCACCATGGAAATTATAGCTCTTCGTAACGTTACTGTGTCAGCCCACCCACAGGGTGAGAGATTGGGTCTCAGTTGCTTCTGTAGGGCTCACAGCTAGATGGGGGAGTGTGTGAGGTGTAACACGGTTCCTGTTAGCAGCTAGGTCCTGCTCACTTGCAGGTAAGAGTGGAACCAAACCCAGTTCCTTACCCAAGCACA